ATTTTTTTTGATCGCGGTTACGATTAACTGTTTAGTCAGATTAAAATTAATCATGATTAACTGTAGTCAGATTGAATTCAATCGAATTGGCTAATTGATTAAAAAATCAATCGATTAATGCCAACATTGATTTCACATACATATCTCTATACCAAGTACCGATTCTCTCCCACAAATACTTCCAGAGATATGTATGTAATATGAAAATTCCAATTTGTATGGGAATTACTTTCAGTCTAAGTAGTAAGTGTACCAAATTTCGTTCTGATCGGGAGACCGGTTAAGGAAGTATCCTATTTTTCAACCCAGGTTATAAACCACTTATAAACCATCTGTGAACAAAATTTCATTTTCAAACAGGTGGCAATTCTTAAAAAGGTAGCCTAATTTCCAATCTATGTCATAAGCTATCTGTGTGCAAACCTTCATGCAAATCAGTTCAGTCATTCCCGCGTTTTAGTTTAATTAAACAATTCTAATGGGTGACAACTCTTAAAATAGTAGAATATTTTCCAACGTAGGTCATAATCTATCTCTGTACGAAATTTCATGCAAATCTGTTAAGTCGTTTCCGCGTATTAATTTAATTAAACTTTTTTACCAGGTGGCAACTCTTCTAAAAAATTAGCGTTTTTCCACTGTAGGTCATAAACTAACTGCTTGCAAAATTTCATGCAAATCAGTTCACTCATTTCCGCGTATTAATTTAATTAATCTTTGTTAGTATGTGGCACCTCTTAAAAAAGTAGCCTATTTTCCAACCTAGCTCATAAGCTATCTGTGTGAAAACTTCCATGCAAATCAGTTCACACATTTCCGCGTATTAATTAAATTAAACATTTCTAACAGGTGGCAACTCTTAAAAAAGTAGCCTATTTTCACCTAGCTCTGTGTGAAAACTTCCATGCAAATCAGCTTACTCATTCCCGCGTATTAATTTAATTAAACCTTTCTAATAGATGGCATCTCTTAAAAAAATTAGCCTATTTTCCATCGTAGGTCATAATCTATCTGTGCGAAATTTCATGCAAATCTGTTCAGTCGTTTCCGCGTATTAATTTAATTAAACTTTTTTAACAGGTGACAACTCTTCCAAAAAATTAGCCTATTTTCCAGTGTAGGTAATAAGGTATCTGCTTGCAAAATTTTATGCAACTCCGTTCAGATATTTCCGCGTATTAATTTAATTATAAACATTTCCAACAGGTGGCAACTCTTACAAAAGTAGCATATTTTTGAACCTATCTCTGTGTGAAAACTTCCATGCAAATCAGTTCACTCATTTCCGCGTATTAATTTAATTAGACATTTCTAGCAGATGGCAACTCTTAAAAAAAGTAGCCTATTTTCCAATCGAGGTCATAAGCTATCTGTGTGCAAATTTTCATGCAAATCCGTTCAGTCGTTCCCGCATATTAAATAAATTGAACTTTTTTAACAAGTGGCAACTCTTAAAAAAGAACAGCCTATTAACCAATCTGGCCAATAAGGTATCTGCGTACAAAATTTCATGGAAATCCGTTCAGTCGTTTCCGCGTGATGATTTCCCAAACATCTAAACATACAAACTTTCACATTTATAATATTAGTAAGAAGGTGGCAACTCTTAAAAAAGTAGCCTATTTTCACCTAGCTCTGTATGAAAACTTCCATGCAAATCAGTTCACTCCTTTCCGCGTATTAATTTAATTAAACATTTCTAACAGATGGCAACTCTTAAAAAAAGTAGCCTATTTTCCAATCTAGGTCATAAGCTATCTGTGTGCAAATTTTCATGCAAATCCGTTCAGTCGTTCCCGCATATTAAATAAATTGAACTTTTTTAAGAGGTGGCAACTCTTAAAAAGGAACAGCCTATTAACCAATCTGGCCCGTAAGCTATCTGCGTACAAAGTTTCATGCAAATCCGTTCAGTCGTTTCCGCGTGATGATTTCCCAAACATCCAAACATACAAACTTTCACATTTATAATACAGTGAAACCCGCTTAAGTACCCCGACCCGAATTTCAATTTTGATGAATTTTTTTCTTTAAGTGTTCTATAAAATCTTAAGCTTAGGTTTATATGGTATTTGTTGGGGAATGAGCTGTATTTTAATTGAGAAATCTTAAATAAATACGTGTACTTCATTAAATGTTAATGTTTTATTCAAGGACTTACATATTTATGTAAGTTACACCCGATTTACATGATCAATGATTATGTTCCCTTAAGTACCCGCATCGAGGTACTTAAGCGGGTTCTTTTAAGTACCAAACCCGCCTAAGTACCTCAAAAAGCTGACATTTTTCGTGAGGTACTTAAGCGGGTTTTACTGTATTAGTAAGATTGATAGTTACAATATACATGAATGAAGATACTGCAATCATTACACTGTACAGCAATCGGCTGGGTATTGGACCAAACCAATTTTTTTAAAGAGATTGAGTCATAGGTAAAAAAGTTATTTCTCCGTTTTTCGAAGTTAGCCTCTGAAATCGATATGGGCCTTCGATGTTCGAAATAGGACCTTTGGTAAAAGATTATCTTTTATTATTATACACTACGAAGCATAATTATGAATCCAGTACAAAAGACTTTGAACCAGCCGTCACAATCAAGATAGGCAAAAACTTTCTTCTATGACTTTTGCATGGTAAGAGCTCTCTTACAATAGAGTGGCTAATTTTTTTATAATCATAACCTTATTTAAAAGAATTAAAAAAATCAAAAACTTACTCGTTGCAAAACTATAAATCCAAAAAACTCCAGTAAAATGAGTAAAACATGCAAATATGTCCTTCTAATACTCTATTTGTGCTACATTGACTTTAATTAACTGAAATATATTTCTCATACTTAGACATAATGTGTTCGGTAAAGCAGCACCCAGTTCATGCCAATCTTGCAAAATCGCCAATTTAAGCCATATAACGTTTGCAAATTGGCGATTATCAGCATCAACTTTCTCTGCCAGTATTCTCCACACATTTTCCATTGGGTTGAGGCCACGGGAGCTCAATGGTTCGAATATTGTTGGTTTTCATCATAATTTTCCGGAAGTTAACAGCAAAATGTTCAGATCGCGTTGGTCGTCAAACGATTTGGAGGGCCTTAGAACGTTACTAGCACCTCGAATCAGCTGTACTTGATAGTAGTTGCCCTGCAAAAATCGTTGGACCATGTACTCTATTTGTGGTAAATTGGAGTACTTACAAAAGTGTTCCTCTGTCATGCTGTAGCGGACCAACTCGTGTCTCTGCGCCAGCTTATTGTTTGTTATCCGATCACTGCTCGTGTTTTAACGAAACGTGATTGANCGCAGGTTCGATCCCTGCTGAAGTCTAGAAAAAAGAAGTCTGATGAGGAGATGTGGTGATCTCCGAAATAGCTGCATAAACATCAACAAAGTGTACCGATAATTTTATGTATTAAAAGAATTAAAAATGAAAATGAATAAAAAAATTAGATCAACAAAATGAATGAAAATAAGTGAAATTAATGCTTAACTTCTAATCTAGCCTGCATTTGTATGTATGTAACTGAATCGCCTAAGAATAGCTTTACATATAAAAAGATTATCCTAATTTTCGAGCTTAACTCTCTAATCTGTTATTATAAAAAGAGATTAGCCATGCAAAATTATAATTTAAAATATCTCAGATTAAACCGATAACTTTTTGGTGTCCAACCTAGTTTTATCGATTATACTTGCGAAGAAGAGGAGGAATGTCAAATGTTAAAGTAAACAAAAATTGACGCTAGTAAGGAAAATAGGTTTGTAAAGGTATTTTTAATAAAATATTCAGTTAAAATATATTTAAATGGCATAATATGTGTTGCAGAAAAAAGTGACCACGGTGGCACAGAGAAGAAGTTTAACTTTTCCTCGAGTTGTGTGAATAACAAGCACAACCAATTTGACAGCTAACGAGCTTTGATTGAGATTATATTTATATATAAACGTACTTTTATGCTTTGCCGTTCGCATATGTTTACACACCAAATTTAATCAAGGTTAGATAATTATTGACAGCCGCGGTTTGACACTCCCTTACAAAAGGTTGCATTTACGAAGGACAGAGAAAGGGAAGAATGAAATCCCTTGTTGCCAAAATGGTAGTAGAAAAGCACGCAAAGTAGGCAATTAGTATTGAAATTCCTTTTGTAAATTCTAATGTATTTGCAGGAAATCTGGCATTTTAAACGAAATATTGAACGAAATATTAATATATCTACGTGAGTTACGTAATTTATGTGCCATTTAGCTGTATAAAAACTGCAAGAGGACTCAAAATTAAAATAAAACTACTATCAGATTTATGTATTTATTTATTTATTTATTTATTTTTTACAGTCTGTTAGACTTATATTGCAACAAAGATTTAACATTCTTATAATTAGATTTTAGATTTAAAATATAAATATTAAATATTAAATACAAAATACAAAATGCTCTACAGAAATTTTTAAATAATATTATTTCTTTATCACTGCAATTATTTTATGTCATTATACACGCATGCAATTTCCTGGAAGTTATGTAGACGGTTGGAAAGGCCGAGTTTCCAATCCGCGCTATTCTTTTTGGGTTACTCCATTTATTGATATCTCCTGGGTGGTCAGAAAGGCCGAGTTTCCGATCCACCCAGTCGCGCTTTCGTGACGGTTAACGGTTGGAAAGGCCTAGTTTCCAATCCGCTCGTTTATTGTTTATTATCTAAGGGTCTAGGTAGTCGGAAAGGCCGAGTTTCCGATCCGCCTAGTCTCGATATCTTGGTGGTTGGAAAGGCCTAGTTTCCAATCCACGCTATTGTTGATACATCACTATCTTGTAGGCTGCGTTCTACAATAGTCAAATAGCAGCCGCTTGAAAAGAGTGATAGTATCACAATTTTTTATAGCCTCTGGTAATTCATTGAAGCACTTTAAGCCTTTATAGAAAATATTTTTTTTGTCCACTTCTGTTCTATACTTCGGGAGTCTGAAGCTGTTATTCTCTCTCAACAAATATGTATGCGTCTCATTTATATATCGGAGATTATCGCTAAGATAATCCGGCAGGTTGCCCTTCTTAATATTGTACACAAATTTCATAGCGTGGTAAAAAACTTGTTGCTTCACGCTTAACCAATTCAAGGTTTCAAGCATACATCTTGTTGGTGTGTCATACGGTTTGTTGAGGATGAATCTCATCGCTCGGTTTTGCATTTTTTGCAGCTTATCTACATGGGAGTCCCCCGCTAGGAAGAAAATCGTGGGGCAGTATATAAAGTGCGGTTCTACTATTGACCTGTACACCAACGTTTTATATCTTCTTCCCAAGTACTTACACGATCTCTTTATAAGGCCAATTTTTTTAGCAATCTTGTTGACTGTATACTCAACGTGCTCATCAAACTTTAGTTTGTTGTCTATGTATATTCCTAGGTACTTGACAATTTTCACCTCTTCGATATTTTCATCTTTGATTTTTAATTCACGGCTTATGGAGTCAGCATTTGCCGCTCTGGAAAATACCATAAAGTTAGTCTTTTTCACATTCAGTTTGAGTTTATTTGAACACAGCCATTGATACAAAGAATTAAGATCTTCTTGCATTTTGACAATCGCATTTGGTAGTTCCCTATCACTGATCGTTAACAAGGCATCATCCGCAAAGAGTTTTATTTTACAATGTTTGAGAGAACTTTTAATATCGTTTATATATATATTAAAGAGTAGGGGTGCCAAAACTGAGCCCTGTGGTAATCCGATGTCTACGGCTATCTTACTAGACATCTTTGAATTAACTATTGTTTGTTGCCTACGATTACATAGAAAGCTTCTAAACCAGTCAAGCTCAGTGTTTTTTATACCAATGTATTTTAGTTTATCCAACATTCGGACCCTATCAACGGTTTCAAATGCTCTTTTAAGATCAATAAACACTGCCACTACATTAAGGTGTCTGTTCAGATCTTCTTTCCATTGAGAAAGCACCAGATTCAGCGCAGTCTCACAGGAATGTTTAGCTCTGAATCCAGATTGTTCTTTTATGAGTATTTTATTGGATTCCACATAGTACTGTAGCTGGTTTTTCACAACGGTTTCTAGCATTTTTTCCAAGCTAGGGAGAGTATTGATGGGCCTAAGCTCCTCAGCTTTAACCGTTTTTCTAACTTTCTTGACGGGCACTATTGATGAAATTTTCCATTCTTCCGGTACTGATCCTGTTTGGAGACTCTTATTTATAAGTAGGGCATAGAAATATCCCATATAATCAGCAGAGTCCTTAATAACACCTTCAGAAAGTAGGTTGTTTCCCCCAATTTTCCGCTTAAATTTTTTGGCAATTTGAAGAATGTCTTCCGTTGAGACCTCTTCAAATTTTAGCGTACTTGTGGGAGCTCGTTGCTCGAAAAAATCATAGTTTACACACTCTATATTGGTATGTATTTCCAAAATGCTGTCCACGAAAAAATTATTTAGGTTTTCCGCAATTTCAAAGCTGTCTACGTAGTTGGTGTTATTTATTATCACTTCCCCAATATTTTCTTTGACCTCCGTGTTATTGACTACCTCCTTTAAGTATTTCCACATGAGTCGGCTGTCACCCTTATTTATTTCCACCTTATGCTCTAAGTATTTAATTTTTTTACACCTTACCATTTTCTTATATCTGCTTCTCACTAAATTATATTCACCCCAGTACCCTGACAACACTGCTTTCTCATGGGATTTAGATTTATACTTGTTCATCTCTGTCAATTGCCTATCATACCATTTGTTCCTCTGCCTAATGCGAGTTATTTTTGAGTAAGTCAACTGCCTCATGGCCCACATAATGCAGTGAGTAATATACTCCACCATACCGTCAGCATCGAAAAAATTTAAGTTTGAGAAATCGCACTGCCTTAGTAAACTTGTTAAGTTCTCAGGGTTATATCTCTCCCAGGATATTACTTCTGCCTCCTTAGCAAGTGGGTTAAGTTTATTGACATTTAGTCGAAACATTATTGTTTCGTGGTCAGATATTCTATGATCCTCGACCTTTTGACATATAACTCGGTTATCATTGGAATACAACAAGTCAATACGTGTTTCCGAATGTTCCGTCACCCTCGTATTAAAATTTATCAGCTGTTGCATGGCTTGTTGCAAGAAAACATCATTGAGTTTTCTGCTGTAGGTTGATACTACGTTCATGTTTATGTTAAAATCGCCAATGACAACAGTGTTCACAGAATTTTCTGAGATTTCTGCTAAGATATCCTCCATATATGTAACAAATTCCGCATCACTTGAGCTTGGGGAGTGATAAACCACCCCGAGCTGCCACCTGGTATCACAGTGTGTGAGTTGAATAACTATACACCAAACATTTTTGTCTAAAGCCTTGTTAGTTATTGTTTTAAAACCGAGCGTGTTTCGAACGAGTATTATCACTCCCCCTGTGTGTCTACTGTGTGAGTCGCAGCGTATCATCTGATACGCCGGGAACATTATTTCCGTATCCTCTATGTCATCAGTTAGGCATGTTTCGGAACACAAAAGTAGATCCGGGTCGGTAAAATCTATAAGTATTTCTAGCTCAACTTTATTAGCCACTAAACTCTGTATATTGAGATATACGCATTGCAAATATTTGGGTAGCGCTTTCTTTACACCTGGGTGAGACGTAAACTCAACGCTAGGGTCCCCACAAACTTGCTGTAATTGTTAGTAATTTACAGTATTTCTTTTATGCTCGAGCTTTTTCTGGTATACAGGACACTGTCGGTTAAATGTCATATGATTTTCATCAAGCCCTAAGTTAAATTTTTTATTAGCACGAATGCAGTTTATGCATTTGTTTAATGTTTCCTTAGAACATTCCACAGTTTTGTGGTTATCTAGGCACTTGAAACATACCTCATCGGCTTTACATTTCGCAGCTATGTGGTTAAATCCCTTGCATTTGAAACAGAAAGTAACATCCATTCCATCTTTGACTCTACATTTTTCCCAACCTATGTTTATTTTTTCGCTTGCCAGCACGGCTGCAAAGGCATCTACATCTGTTTCTACTAACGCATTATAATGTTTTGCATTTCCTCTTTTTGTTTCAAAACATTTCAAAATTTTGAAATTACCATTTTTGAAGCATTCATTCTGTTTTTTTATCATATCCCTGAGCTGCTCATTCTCATGTTTAAAGCTCATTCTATATACCATGAACCTTGGCTTGGCTACGTTTGGGATTTTTATTTCATATCTATCACTCATTTTATTCTCTATTGCCTTTTTGATTTTTTCACGCTCAGCCTCATTTTCTGTTTGTATTACTACAGCCCCACTTTTCCTCCCCTGTACACTATTAATTTTCAAGCCCGAGGGGTCAACATTTTTGTTCAAATCTTCTTTTGTTTTTCCCACTTCCTGCTTCTCTTTTGGTTGTAGAACTAATGGCTTCTCTTTATTTACTTTCGGCGGCCTATTATCTTTCGCAGTATTACCTTTAAAGAGATCCGCGTAAGTGGCTTTCGCCCGCTGACCTGCTAACGCGTCAGCAGTCACCGATTTCTTTATCTCTTCACAAATTTTTTTGTTCTCATTTTCATTGCGCACTATGGCTTCGCAAAGATCATGGCTTTGCTTTTTTACGCCGTCAGCTATTGACTTAATTTGGTTCACTTCGAGAATACTCGCCTCACAGGTTTTTTGTACTCTTTGCATTGCATCAATGCGTTCCCCAAATTTTTTCTCTATTGATTGCAAGAGAAGTTTAAGCTCTTTCACTTGCATTTTCTGCGACTCCTGGAAGTCATCATTACACTCTTGGATCTTTTGACTATTTTTCTCTATTGTTAAGTTCATATTTCGGAGCACCTCATCGATGTTATGCATGTATGTGTGACATTGGTTACACATAAAGCGCACAAAGTTGTTTTCTTTGAGTACATTCGCACTGTACTCATCCAATTCAGAGCATTTTTTTGCCCAGTGCCACACTTTACCACACACACCATCACAGCGGATTCCGCTGTCACCGCGAATTGGATTCTTGCACTTATGGCATTTATCCATTTTCGCGCCTTATTGTTTTTGTCACCTCACTGCACTTTTATGTCTCTAGCTATATTTATTTGTTTGTTTAATCAAAATGAAACAAATTTTTGTGCTTGCAAATAGCACAGTTTATTAGCACTTCGCTATTTAAGTCACTGGCTCTAACGCTGGTAAAAATCCCAACAATTCGGCTGTTTTTTAAAAATTTTCCGCAGAGCGATTACAAACACGTCAACAACGTTGCAGTGTTACCATCCAGTTAAAAGCAATTTATGTTTTCATCAGTTATATGTGTTTCATATGCATATACAAATAAACATATTGCACAAAAGCTTATATTTCTTTTTCACACCAAAGCTACACTTTTTCCAAGTAAATTTGCAAAGAAGCAACACGGTGCCACTGCTAAGGGAGGAGTGAGAGAGAGACAACTGTCAGTTTATCGAACCTTGTATTATTGAATCATGAGTACCTAGTACTTACGCAGTTTTTTAGAATTTTTTTGCCGAAGGTGTGTAGTGCTGCGACTGAATTTCAAAATATGTAAATGTGTGAAGAAATTTAAAAAAAGCACTTAAAAGGGGAAAATTATAAGTAAAATGGTAAATGGAGAATTTGAGAATACATCTAAATTTTAACAAACCTGGTTAGTCTGCGTCAGACAACGTGTAATCGGCTCATTAAGCATGAAGTTGGTCTTGCAATAAGGTAAATAGAACATGTCGCTGAATCTGTGATCCCGAGCAGGACAATTGAAATGAATAAGCTCAAGCAAGAAGTGGCAATTGATATGACTCGTGACTATGTCCCTAATAAACATTATCGAGGAAATTTGTCTACGCATTTCTAATGTCGGCAATGCAGTGGCGGATCCAGCGGGGGGTTTGGGGGTTAAACTACGTGTCAGTCAGTGGCGGACCCACGGGGGGTGTTTTAATACATATACGCTACATTATACATACATATGCGCCATATTAAAACACCCCCGTGGCTCCGCCATTGACTGAAACGTAGTTTAACCCCCAAAACCCCCCCGCTGGATCCGCCACTGCGGCAATGCCACCATAAGGCACCTACTCTTATAATCAGGCATGCTACAATTCCAATGCAGGGAGTGAATGGCATATCTAGTAAAGCGTTTTTGGATCTTCTCAATCCTTAAGGATGAACCCGAATAGAAAGGATCTCAAATGATGCTGCAATACTCAAGACTGGATCTTACAAATGAAAAATACAAGCCCTTGAGAGTGAAAACATCCNATAATATTTTCAGAGGAAACAGTGGTATTAAAATATGACAAATGTACCCACTTTAAATTGGCAATTATATCCAATACGCGACTTTCATTTCGTCCAACAACAGTGTTATTCACATTCCGCTTTGCTCTTCTATTCCTAGCGCCAACAGGTATGAAATTGTCATCGTTGTCCGACTGCGCTGGCTGGTTGTTAGGAGATACAGACAACGGAGGCAGAGGGGGCACAGAGCAGAAGAAATTTGCTTTTTCGCTTTATTGTACGCATTGGTATCATTACGTGAGTTAGATACAGTGAGAGTGTCAGCGGCATGGAAGGCAGTAGCAGTAAGAGCAGCGGCAGCAGCATAGGAAGAAGGTGGAACAAGAGGTAAAAGTGGCGGCGTTGAGTGTATAAAACGTGTCTGCCCATTTCCTGAGGCTGCAGTAATAACTTCATGCATTTTATTGAAATCGTTGTGGATATCTTTTATGCAATAGAGGGGATTGTAGCAGCGACATCAAAATCACAAAGTTTGCGGCGAACAGCTTGCACTTCTAACTAACGGAATTTATTTGCATGTCTCATTATGAAGCCGAGCATAGACCTGGACTTGGTAATCATAAAATCTATATGTTTAGAAAAGGCCATTTTCGAAGAAAAGATGACCTCCAGATCTTTCTTTTCATAAATTTTTGTGAGAGTGGCAGCGCGCAACCTATAACGATAGTCAGTTGTAACTTTAAATCTACTGAAGGACATATACTGGTTTTTACCAACGTTGAGAGGTAAACAGTTAGCAACACACCACATTTGCAATCTGAGTAAGTCATCTTGAAGTTTAATGAAGTCGGACGTGTTTTCTATGCGACTGTATATCTTCAAGTCATCTGCGTACATTAGACAACGGGATGTTAAGAAAACGTCGGGAATATCATTGACAAAGATCAAGAAAAGTAACGGTCTCAGGTGGCTGCCTTGTGGTACACCAGAAGTGGCTTTAATCGCATCTGATTTACACCCCTATCGCGAATGTCGACTGGCAGTAGATAAACGACTATTAAGCGATTGTCGATTATCGATGCTATTGTGAATGTCGCTTAGTCGGTCATTAGTTCGCTTCTATTGCTGTTTTTTAGTCGTTGGAGTTTGCGTTTATAAAATTTACATAAGAATGTGGTACTATAATGGATAAAAAGTAAGTCAATTGATCTATAAGTTGTAAAAAATTGTGAAATATACTTATATATGTATGTGTCTGAATTACGGATCAAAAATTGTAAGCAACAAAATGCAACTTGTGCGGTTGGTCGAGCTGATGTGGGAGAATGAGGACATAGGCAAAAGAATTTTCGGAAAGAGTAGGGGAGATAGAAGGATATACAATATTTCTTGTGCATATAACTCCGGCTACGCCATCCACAGCGTTTTTGCGCAGAACCAACATCAAAATTGGGAACGCAACATTCATAAAATTCACATATATACCTACACTTCATCTTCCAACTCCAAGGGATCCGACGAATCTCGCAATTCCCTCCTTGCTTTAGCCAACTCTACTAATCTATTAGCTTCCACATCGTCTTCCTCATCCCTAAACAATATTTCAACTGTGTACATTTTTTAAATTTTATAATAAAAGCAATTATTTTAAAAATGATGTAAATGAAATACTAAAGAAACAAATTTAAACAAACAAACAGCTGTTTACAATTCACAGAGACCGTATATTTATAGAGAAGGTCCAAGAGCTGTGAATGCCACATTTTTCGAGCCAACTAAACTGGCGAAGCGCATTTTAAGAGCGACAAATATTTGGAATACTTAACAGCGAAAGCAAAATACAAAGCAGAAAAGAAGAATATTAACAGAGCTAAATCTCACGAGATCGTTTGGACTGTTAATTAAATATGAATATTGAGGATTTTGTGATACTTTGGAAAGTGTTAGATTTTTTGTGAAAATAATTATTTTAGTAAGAAAATTAAATTTTTTCGCTGATTTGTACAAGTAACATGCAATTAAATCGAAAATATTATATAACATTTTCCGATTTTTGTGATATTTTTTTAATGATTGCAAATAGAAAACTCTCATAAGTGTTTGCATTTTTTGTGAAAACATTTTTTGCCAAAAAAAATCCTCTTTTCCGGTTATTTCTACAAATATCGTGAAAATAAATCGAAAATGTTATATAGAATTTTTTCAATTTTTGTGATATTTTGTTAGATTTTCAACTTTAAAACTTTTTTGGTGTAAGCCTTTTTTGTAAATAGATTTGTAGGGAAAACAATTTCTTTTCGGTGATTTGTACAAATAACGTTAAAATAAATCGATAATATTATATAACATTTTCCAATTTGTGTGATATTTTCAAGTAAAAAACTGTATTGGTATTGGATAAAAAAAAAAAATCATTTTAGATTTTTTTTAAGGTCTCTCGCTAAACTAGGCCGAAACTATTTGAGAATTTTTTCCAAATTTTCGATATTTATGGAAATAACGAAGTTTTTGAACCTTTTGGACTTAGAAATTTTTTGAATAAAAAAACAAAACTGTGAAAAGAATTATTTTCCATTTTTTTGTAGAGATCTCCCTAAGCTAAGGCGAAAGTCTGTATGATTTTCTTTTGTATTTCCGATATTTATGGAAATAATTAAGTTTTTAATTATTTTCGACTTGGGAACTTTTTTTTTTAAATACTAAAAGTCTGTAAACCTCGGATTTTCCCAGCAATTTGTAAAAAACTGGCTTATCTAAGACGAAACTATTTGAGAAATTTTTCAATATTTTCTATATTTATGGAAATAATGCAGTTTTCAAATCTTTTCTAATAAAGTCGTGTAAGAAGTTGCCATTCGATGGGTGGCACCTTCGCTACTCATGTGCATATTTGTCCCCCACATTGTCATTTACATATCTAATTAATTAATAAACCTAAATTTATAAAGCACATATTTGTAAACTGCATTTCATTGATATTACCTATTTCCGCTACCAAATTTTTCATGCAACCAAAAAGACAAACAAATGAAAATGTAGTATGAAGTATGTATGCATTTATAAATGTACATATGTACATACCGCTTCCATCTACAGGAATTATTCAATTTCTGCGAATCGGCACCAGATTGGCACGTGCGCGAAACCATTAACCCTACGTTTACGAAATATTTTGATTTTCGCATAACTTTGCATTTAATAGGGCAATACTTGTAAATTTTGTATGGAGAATAATATTAATTAATTTAAAATTCTGCATGTAACCATGTTCTCGACGATACATGAAACTTTCATCAAGATTAACCATAAAAATTGTGCTTCATTAACAGTTGGAACCAGCTGAAACCAAAAAAACTATGTCCGCTAAAATGGGTCAAACACTAACTGGAATTGGCACTTTTTACACGCATACATGCATACTTTCATATACACATGTACAGTGGAGTACCACTAGCTTGGACATTGCATTGCTTGGACTTTGATGTGTTTGAAACTTTTATGGTACTGAAGATTTGCTTACGGTTGAAAAATATTAAAAATCGTCCGTGCATATATGTAAATATATTTTTATAAAGGCTTTGAAGTATAGAAAATTTTAATATTAAAAAATAAATAAAATCATTTTTTTGTATATATATAAAATTTGTTCAAGGCACATTGACCCACCTGTACAAAAATTGTGGCGCGGCATGGATAAAAATTTTACAATTTCGGACCGAAAAATATGAAAACGAGCTAAGTTGCCACGTTACATCTGTGAACTTCCGATAAAACCACATATTTTTGTGATTTTAGAAGTTTTGATTTTATTAAAAAAAAAATTATCTATTTTCCTGCAGAAAACGTACACTTTTATTTAATGTTTATTAAAATTACATCTCAAAAACTAGTTAATGATTGAAATATTGATATGTAACATAGAAATAGAGTGTTTTGCCAACTATTACCAAAAATTTCCAAAATTCGAGATAACTTATTTTACTGGATATAGAGAAATAGTTGCCACTTTTC